CTCTCTTTCCGCACGTTTCAAACCGTGGTACCACAGCTGGCCCTACGTGCCTGAGTCGACTACCATCAATCCATGTTTAAAAATAGTTATTTTTTACCGTGCAAGTCCTGAACTTCTAACTTTCTTGGTTGCTTCAAACTTGAAAGGCCGCTGCTCGTTTCCTGACCATATTTCAAAAATCTGCTTCCGATACGATAATGTCTGTGCAAGTATAAGAGATCATAACAATTGCAGGCGATGCCTAGAAAGGTACCAACAGTTTTCTTTCCAAAACGAATTAGAAATAAAGTTTCAAATGCGTCTAACTCACCGTAGCTTGAATAAAAACAACCAGTAGGATGACGGTACTATGTTTTCTTCACTTGATGGCTTACGTCATTCCACATCATGCGCAATTTCTTCAAATGTTAACCGGCAACCGCCGTCAACTTTCGCGCGCAACTTGAAGGAGTTACGTCACAGAAATCCTGGTGTGCAAGTGACGCCTCTTTCTCACCGGTTTTGTTTTCGTATTCCAGTGTAGATATAGACTTAAATTACATAAACTATTATGTATTTAAAAAATTGTACAGCACTGCTTTAGTTAACCATTTCCATTATGGTCTAAGTCAAAAAAAATATAAATAAATAAATAAATGTGATGAAGGTGACATATAACCAAACAAGCAAGTATTTAAATGAAAATGATAATGAGATATGACGGGGTTTTACAACCATGATACCCGCCCAAAAACATCCCTATCTGATTTTACAAGCAACCAAAAGGATGCCTGTCGCACAAGTACAATGACCTTCTAATTTATCCAGTGGATAGTGCTATCCACCTTTCGAACAACTGGGTCCTGTCAGTCAAACGGAACAAAGTCAGTCACGTGAGTTATCCCTTTACTGCAATTTACTGTCAACTTGGTTCACTAAGTAATTGCGAGATCATTGTATTCTTATTTGCGACAGTTCTTTATTAGAAACTGCGACAGGTGTTACAAATTACGGCCAAGGTTAGGCAGGAATTTATTAGAAGAAGTTTTTTTCGTTTTCGCTATCCAATCAAAAGCGAGTAGGTAAAATTGCATGACTGTCGAAAAAAATACATATATATGAGATGCTACAAGAAGTTAAACTCAAAGCAAAGAAACAGCTTGGAAACTTTTTTACTAAAGAAAGCGATGGCCTTTCTCGTCATGAGAAATAAAAGTACTCAGACCTATGTATGGTCGACGCAGATCGTACTAACGTTCTTAAACAATTTATTCAGGCTAAGCTAAATTGATCGGAATAATTTGCATCTGGAAGATAAATACATGTAAACTACTACTTAATTCACCTGCTCTTTTTTAACAGTGCGTCAAAATGGAGAAAGTGAAACCAAGTGTCTGCTAGCAGGATGTGAACATAAAAATATAATCCCACGATGTGATATTAAAAAGGTTCCATCTGATAAGAACTTTCGCCTCCCACCACTGTGTGAACTTGATCCTAAATCCTCTCCCTAATATTTTACATTCTCTTAGGGTCCAAAGGTTCTTGTTTTCTCTCCTCATACGCCTGGTTTTTTTTCCAAATTCCAATTCACTTTCAGTCAAGAGTCACAGATCTATCTGGCAGTCTCTTCTCAAGCCTTTCATCGTCCTTTAAGTCCTACATCCTCCAAAATTGATTCTCCGGTCATGTGGTAGAGTTTAGTTAAAATTGATGTATTTTCTTTAAAACACAGCGCCAACAAGTCTTTTAAACTCTTTCTTTATGTCTCTTTTGAAAAAGGCATAGGCCAGCGGGTTAATGGCCGAGTTTAAAACCAAGACAGGAGTTTTGTAGTTTTCATCATTGCACTCCCGCGATGAGGATAGTAATAGAAAAGTACAACGCAGATAAATCCCATAGCAAACAAGAAACACTCCTATTACAAGACCCATCATTATTACTGCAGACCTCTCGTGGTGGATTTTAAAGGAAATCTGATGGTTAAAACGTAACTGTTTTGCTAAGGTGCGTGCTGACTGATCATGCCTGCATACATGAAATATCATTGATACAAAGGAGAGTACTAACACAACGCATGGAAGAAACTCGAAAATTATTATGGTCAGCCATATAAAAGGGACAGGTATTGTTTTGAAATAAAACATGTAAGTAAACGTTAGCACATTATAACTAGCTGGTAGAACCCAAGAGAAGAAAATAACTTGAATAATTCGACGGCGAGTCATCAAAGTAATGTATTTTAGAGGATGGACGATGGCAATTAAACGATCCAGTACTAAGCCGCATAAGTTTACAACAGACGTGTAACTAAACAACCACCTTATAAAATTCACCCAAGACAGCCAACGTTGAGGCCAGTAGCAGGTGTTTGTAATGTCGCAGAAAAACAGAGAAGGAATAACGCTCAAACCAACACAAAAATCCGCTACGGCAAGAGAAACAATAAACACGTTGGGTTTGGTGCGGAGATTTCGTCTGCTGCAAACGAGAAAGATTGTAAATCCATTTCCAGTGATGGCAAGAAATGAAAGAACCCAGCCAAGAATCCAAAACCAGGTCTCCATCTTAGCAGTTAAAGGAAGTTCCTCTTAACTAAGATTATAACTAACATCCCTGCTTAAATAACAGGGTCACATTAAATACGAGTTGTCTTTATTTCAATGTAATAACAGTCCTTATTAATGCCATAAAAATTTACATCGGACTAAGCTATAACAACTGATTTGTATCAAGAATAAAAATAACTACCTATTTTTTGTACGTGTGTTAATAAAGAAACTGGATGATTCTAAACGAGGAAAACAGGTGCAAAATGGTCTAGTGAATTCTCGTTTTGTTAAATATACCGTTCCAGCTTTGGACAGCTCGTCTACTCTTTCGGGGTTGGGCTGCCTAATCATTCTAATCATTCGTTTGAGAGGGGCGAATTGAACTATGATAAATTTTTATAGCTGTATGAGCAGTAAAACATGCATTTTTTTCTTTCTCCTTGACAGAGTCACGGCTAGTTATTTTTCACCTCATGCCAGCAGAGTGACGTTCTGACGATTTCTTTTCAGTTATGCTGGTTCTCTACACCTGATCTTGACCAATGAACAGGCCAGGGCAACTGTCATTTTACATATAAGACCATTTACACAATAATTATACTAATGAAACTGACAGTGGCTTCTGTGTGCCGGCAATCATCGACGGTGCTATATCATCAGTTATTTTTGGTTGAATTTCAATTATGGAACGCCATAAATTTAAGTCTTAATTAAAAAGGGGGTCCATCAACTACGATCCAAGACCAGTAAAAACGCAACAAGCAATCATTATGTTGACAAATTTTGGTAAGAAAATTAAACATTTACGGTTGTTTGACTTTTATTACGACTAACGGTTAAAAGTTTCCACCTGACGGCTGAAATTCGTGGCTGTTTTACGGCTAACAGTTAATCCGGTCGAGACCCTCCTAAAAGCAGCAGCATGAATTAACCTGCCCTTGCTTTCAATTTGGTCAGGGTTAAAGCCTATTGTTATTCATTCAATTTTTTTCTTCCGCAGAAAAGGGCTATGCAATCGAGAGGCCCTGGGGACTACCGTGTGTCACAAAATTTTTGCGGGTTCTAATTTTTGCGTTTTTTGCGATTTTTCCAACGATCCCCAAAAATAAGTTCCCGCAAACTTTTTTCCCGCAAAAATTTACTCCAGAGAAAATATTCTCGAACTTAAATTCGCTACACAAAAATTTACAACTTGCAGTTTTTCATTCAGAAACAAAACGGTGTACAATGAATTACTGGTATTACATAGGGTTCGCATACGGTAGTATTGTTTGAAAATATCTATTTCTATTGCACGTACTTAACAAAAACGAAAATATTATCAATGCTGGGTACTGGGTATTTTTCTGAAAATCGCAAAGATTAATTCGCAGCAAGAAAAACCAATCTGTCCTAATCGCAAAAATTAGTTCCCGCAAAACACAAAAAATCATCAATCCGCAAAAATATAAACTTCCGCAGAAATTTCGTGCCACACTGTAGGTTAAACTTTTTTGCGCCAGAGAAAATGGCGGAAAATTTCACTCGTTTTGAGAGAAAAAAATAGTCGGAAGAGTTTAAGCAACAATATGACCTCAACCAGGTTTTGGCGTCCGGCGGATTTAGGAAAACACAAGGGTTTGGATGGGGTGCTTAGTCTCACGCGCTCAAAAAACCTGGTCTCGTTCGTTCTTAGGGACCGGTCATTATTTATCGCCTGGCGGAAGGGGGGGCGGGGCGAAGGATTTTTGTTGCAACAACGGAGCACTTACGTGATCCCCCCCTTAAAGCATACAGTGTGGTTTTGATCCCCCCACATTGGCGGTGGAAGATTTCATGATCCCACCTCTTCTATCCCAGCCACCACAAAAAGTCAGTGTTACTATATGCAAGCAACTGACATGTATATTAATACTTACGTCTCATGAACCTTGAACAACAACTTCACCTATTTGGTCATCTGATGTGAACTGAATTGTCTGTGAAGGGTTACTCTTCTCAAACAAATCGTTGAAAACAAAGTCATTAATTGTCGGTCTCGTCCTCCACACTGTGGAAAATACGTCACTTTCCCAGTCTTTAGCACCACACGATTTGTCTGTGTTCATAGAACTCTTTGATGTGTCGGTAATAATGACATCGAATTGCTTTTACTTTGTCAAGCTTTCGATCAATAGTGGTTAGTCCGTGTTCGTTCAGGTAGAAGTCAAGTTCTTTTACATTTAACTTTTCGATCTTACACTCTCAGTAATGGTGTCCCATTTGAAGTCCTTGTATGTCCGTTCTGCCTCTCGCCTCTTTCGTTTCTCAGCTTCTATTGTTGTAATGTCTTTTCTGATATCAATATCTTTAAGATGAGGAATATATGTAATAACATGCTTCCCATCAACAGTGTACTTTGAACAGAAGCTCTTGATGGTATCTCCATCGTTAATGACACTGACGGAATCTTCCCCATACAAGTGCTTCAAATATTTTATCAGGAGTCATCCGGTGTCCTGCCAGTCGATTCCGTCTGATAGACATCCACGAAATGTCCCCGATTGTTTGGGTCTGGTACAGATTGCGGAATTCTTTCTGTCTCTTGTGCCACCCAGCTATCGTTAGAACAGCAAGAACCGAGATTGGAGGTCTCCTCTATGCCGCAGCATCACAACAGAATTCCATAAAGAGCTCTCCACGGATGTAGTTGATTTCCATGAACGATTCGATCTTTCTGAAGTATACTGCACCAGGCAATTCCAATTTGTTTCTTCCTGATGCGCTCCGATATCTATCAAGATGAGAAGAACTGAAAAAGAACAGTTCCTCAGGAGGCTCACTCACTTTACTCTTAGGGACTGGTCAAAAAGTATAGGGGGGGGGTGGGGTTGGGCCGGAGCATTTGGAAATGTGGTTGATAAAAAACACATGACCTACCCCCTCCCTTCGGCACAAAAATGACTGACCCACCCCTAAAGCAAGGTTGGAAATTGCATGACCCACCCCCTAGTTAAAACATGGATGTTCGGTTTCCTCTTCATAATCCAATAAAACCTAGTTCTGTGCTTGACAAAATTTGTTGATACACTGCTACAACCAATATCAAAATCACAGAAATCATACCTTTCACTGAAAAGACGAATGTGAAAAACCGAACATTTCTTGTTTCAATGGACGTTTAAATATGAGTCTTGACACAAATATACAGCAAAACGAGGGTATATTGAAATTTTCTGTCACAAAGCATACGAAAATTTTAACAAAGACAACCCATTCCTACACATTACTTGCCGGAAATGCTTAGATTAATCCTCAAAGAAAATTTCTTCCACTTCAGTGGAAAGCACTACCTACAAAACCATGGAACTGCAATGTGCACAAAGGCAGCAGTTTTGATTCCTTTGATTTTTTGATTCCAGTTTGGAAATGCCACATACACGATATCTTTTCCCTATGGGACATGAGTAAACCAGACATCGAAGCCTTCATTGAACAAGCAAGCTTACACCACCCAACTAATGAATTCACGGCCGAAACATTTGACACTGAGACTGCGTTTTTAGACACGGTTGTATACAAAGGCACAAGATTCAAGGAAAACCTATCCTTGATGCAAAGACACATTTTAAACAAACGGAAAGCTTCTTGCACACACATTTTCACCTCGTGTCACGCTCCAAATGTTAAAAAAAAAATTTGTCAAAGGAGAAGCCTTAAGAATCCTACGAAAAAACTCCTCAGAAACAACCTTTGAGGAAAAAAATTCAAATTAAAAAAAAAAAACGCTTGATGAACGGAGGCTACCCACAATCTTTCAGGGGCACCCAACGTCAATTTTCGAAAAATATCTGTTCGAAAGACGATTTGTCAGATCTAGAATTTTCTGAACATTTGTTGTAAAACTTCTTGTTTGTCTGCCCCTCCTAGGATTTTCGAACATCTAAAAAAACGGTATAATTGCCTATTTTTTGATCCCTATAATTTTCGTATCACTAGACTTTCAGCTAGGAGATCCGAACAGATGGAAAATTTTTAGGGGATAAAAATATGCCTATATCTACTGTTTAAATTGGTTTTGAAGTATATTCTCGTTGGGTGCCCCCTATCTTTGATAGAAAACCTACTATCAGAAATAAAATTCACAAAAGGGAGTCTAAACTCCTAAAACAAAACAACAAGGAGGAAAAAAAATTATTGCCATTCGTGACACAAAACCAGCCCTCAGTGTCTACTATAAAGGAAGATTGAATGAAAAAATGGAATCTTATACAAAACCAACTATAACTTCAATAAATTTTTAAAGATCCACCAATCATTTCCTTACAAAAAAGAAGAAAAACGGTTCACAGAGGGTTCTACGCCCGTATAGATGTGCGGCCTGTCAACCTTTGTATTTTCTGGCACAACAGGTTTGTGATTATTTTAGCAATAATTCCAGTTGGCTGTGTTTTATATAACTAGTGTAGTCAACTGTCTCGTTAGTAGGTAGTAAAAAATAGGGTGACCCATCCCCTAAGGGTAGCTGAAAATTGCACGACCCACCCCTTGCACAAGGCTCAAAACCTCATGACCCACCCCCTCTCTGCTCCGGCCCACCCCCCTCTATACTTTTTGACCAGTCCCTTAATGTAGTCTTTAAGAATAGGGGCGTCATCAATCTTCTCTGAAACCTGGCCGCATACGTACCAGGCATTTTTCTCCATCCGCGTCTTTTCAGGAGGCTGCAAAGGAGGGCTGGGGGGACGAAGAAATTAAGTGACACTAAACTAATCATTTGTTGATATACCATGTATATATTTCTTACTTCTGTTGTTGTTGTTTGTAATGACAGTGAACCACCACGTTTATCGAACGTTCTTATTACGGGGATACCTTTCAATGGCTCTAATAATAGAATTTAAAACATTGAACTTTGTGGACATTTAAACTATTGAACGTAAACATTTTTTAGCATCACGTTTAATACGAAAATACAACCACTGAACAAGATCATCAAAAGGTAATAAATTGATTCCACCGATAATTTTCTCCTTTTTTTCCTGGTCCCCCTTTAG